GTTACCAAACTTGAAAACGTCACTCACCGGGTAGAAGGTTTTGTTGAACGAGTAGTTCATCGCCGACTAAGGGATCTACTGCGTACACCTGCATTTGTCAGACGAGATTAAGGAATTGGGGAATCGTTATGTATCTCGCTAAATGTACTGTTATTGAGAAATAAACCATATTTTTTGTAAATGTTCGTATTTTTTGTAAGCTAAGTAGTTATTGAACCTCCGTCGTAAGAAATTATTATCCTGAAATAATATTTCGTCCTACCTAAAACCTTATAGCCAACACTAACAGTTGTAAATTCGTGTACTTCTTTATTTGAAATCTGTGTTTTATTTCCTTTTATTTATTTTTTATACAACTGCTTCACCCCACCAAAGCTCCGATTGTTGGACTTAATTTTTTTTTTTACAACTTCCGCTCCCCACTGTGAGGTCAGTTGTATTGACTGTGTGAGAGTACCGCAATAACGCTGCTTTGTGCTTACTCGTATTTTCTCATTTCAAGCTGGTTATATGGTTGTATGTTGAGCCATTTTTCTGTGCCACTGATTGCTTCCATATTGCCCCAAACCACCGTTACCATTTTCTGTTTCAAAAGTCCGCCGCTTTGGCCGCTTTTGAGTTGGCCTGTTGAAATATGATTTACGAATTTTTAACTTGTGGCAGCATATTTCTTCACTTGAAAATTACGTTCGCCCCTTACCAGCTACTTCTTCAATATTTATGAACGGGGTGGGGGGTCTCCCATATATTTTCTTGCTTTGAGCGTGGGTTATTGTATTTTTACAGCTTCATATGGACGTTGTTGGCGAAGCTCGGATGCTGCAGTGTGCCGAAGCGCCGCCATATGTTGCTGCCACATGGCGAACAGCAGCGACAATGGGTGTGGGAGGGGCGGTAAAAGGAGGCCGCTGGTCGCTGATCAGTGGGTGAGCGAACGCAGCAAATTGTTTTTACTGCGAAAGTGTGTTGGTTGTGTGTTGCGTGTGTGGTCGTGATTTGCTGCATTTTTTTTTTCCTTTTTGGTTTGGGTCCCTGCTCTTTGCTCTCCGTTTTATTGTGTGAAACTATAATTTGAAGGAACTGTGAAATGTTTTGAAGCTTTTGATTGACGCTCTTTTTGATGTTTACAATTGTTTGTTTTATTACTTTTCGCTCGTTATTTTCTTTTTGTTGTTCTCTTGTTGCCTTTCCGCTTCACGATAAATTAAGTTTTTTGCGTTCTCGACCACATAACGGTACTCGTTGCGATTTTGTTGTATGTTGTTGAATGAGAATTATTGTTTCTAAATTTTATATATGATGCACTTATCAGCCGTTGGGTCAGCGCCAAGCGCCAAGCACTCGCTCACTCAAATATATTGCGAAAGTGCAACCAATTTACGACTTATTGTTGTACGCTTTTGTTTCTAACTGTATTTCCAGAGAATTTCAAGATGAAGAAAAACTTTCTTTGCATACAATACAAACAAACGACATACGTATGTATATGCACTAACACATTCAAACACATTCAATATTAATGTGCATATATCTACAGTAGTGTGTGTATGCGTGTGTTATGGCCGAATTGTGGCTGTGTTTGTGCGCATATAGTAGTGGCATTCCATTTTCGTTTTATGCAATTTCTGCTTTTGACATTCACTTAAATGGAAACCTTTAAGGCGTAAAACTGCAGTTTTCATAAAGTCACAAAAACAAAAACACAAAATGTTCAGCTTCACAGGTAAATTCGAGTGTTTTTTTGTTTCCAATTGTTAGCTCAATGGCAACGTTGTTGGTGCGTGACTCGTATTTTCCTAGATAAAATGGTTTGTTCTAAGAAAAATTTCGAAAATTAATTAATAAAGCTTGAGAAAAGTACGATATTTTTGTTATTAAACTTACAAAAATTGAAATCGATTTATTTTTCTTTTCAAGGGAATGAACTAATTGAAAAGTCTCTCGAATTTTAGAAAATAAGTGCATATATGTACACACATGTATGGTTTCTGAAATATTCAAAGATTTCTTATTGCTCTCGAGCCACATGTTGCCCAAAATTATAGTAGTCATTTATATTAATCTAAAAATAATTGAGTTAGATAATAAGTCAATTGAAAAGTCCTTGGTCTAGCATAGTAAACATACATTTTTTTGACAAAATTATTTTTTTGTTTTATTCAACATAGTTTCTTTCAATGGTGATACTTACACTGTTTGTAGCGAACATCTGAATTTTCGGTACCATTTTTGGGTTGCGACTTGTCCAATGCTTTGGTTCATCGTTTTCGGTGCTCATTTAACCATGTTTAAATTTAGCATACGTATCCTTGATAGTTAGAAACTCGTCATCATGCCAAGGTTTGTGCTTCAACTGTATTTTGCATCAACACACGAAATTCCTCCTTATCAATTTTTTCACAATAAAAAAATTTGTTTTACTCAAAATGATATAATTCACAAACTAACGATCCGCCAGTTGTTCAATTTATTCAATAATTATGAAATCATATGAATTTAATTCTAGTGGCGCCATCTATGTATCAGGTCGGGGAATTTTTAGTTGGTTAGAGTAAAATAATTACTCGAGGATTCATAAAAATTTTAAAGCATCCACTGTAAAACTGGTCAATTTGCTGTATAGGTGCTCTTATTATTCCTAAAAAACTATTACTAATTTATTATCTTCCACGAAGTTTCTTTCAACAAATTCATTGTTTTGTTGACTGTGGCGCCGTATTGTTGGAACCAAAATTCGTCCACATCAAGCTTCTCCAATTTTTGTTCGAAAAACTCATATAGAATTCATAAAGACATATGGTCTAATGATTTCCTCTGTTCGTAGAAAAATGTGAAAAAGTGAGTTTCATCGATGAAAAAAGTTTTCTTGTGAAAATCGGAATCGGTGACCATATCGATTTGAGACTATTCATCGAACTTGTGGCGCGACCATCAACGTCCCGGTTCAATTCTTGTGTCATTAAGAATCTCACAAAATCCTCTCCGACCCTAAGAATCAAGATCACTGAAACGCCAATCTAACTCGAGCAATTTTTGCGAAAGGGTCGGGGTACAGACAAATGTTTGATGTTAAATCGGTTTTCTTCTTTTAGTATAATTTCGTCTAGTTCGGCTCCATGTGAGCTTGCGTTGTTGGCAAAGCTTCAAAACTAATACATCTTATTGGGGATGAAATTAATTTAGAGTAATTTTTGGCACACAAAGGACTTGGACTATAGTTCATATGTTTGGCTGAGGGATTGAATTATTTTATATCAATGAAACTGTGAAATGTACATATTTTCATTAAAATACAATTCAAAGAATGTTGCAGTTTAGTCAGCTTCGAAAACTCTTTCTAGAATCGCTGTTTACAACAAAAATAAAATTTATATCAGATATTGACATTTTTACGATTTTTTGAAGTCCTAACCTTGTAATAAAACAACTGCAAATTATTTTTGTAACTTTAGATTTTCATTTGCCTAAAATAACAATTTCTTTCAAAAATATTTCATTTCGACAACAATCCTCAAAAAATAATTTGTCTGTGTTTGTTTCTTAAAATGAAATTAAATTGACTATGTATGCATATTAGAACTACATTATTTTTGTATAAAAACCTTTTAAAATAGCTAAATACTAAAAAAACTGCTTACGTGTAATAATCTGCTCTCATTTTTGTGTCGTAAAAATGACTAGTGAAATATATTTGAAAATTATTTTAAAAATTAATTTCCACCTTACAACATAATGCATTTAATTTACAACTAGTCAATAATAATTAAAATTGCTATGCTTAAGATTAAGTGTAATGAACTACCCCCGAACATACAAAATTAATTATTTAATTCAAAATAAGTAAGTATATAAATAGCTATGTACAAAGAGTTTAAAAACTAGCATTATTAGAAGTATGTGGTTGAACTTGGTTTGGATAATAAATGTAAATTTCGGTTTTTGGTGTTATATTATTCGAAAATGAGAGAGAAAAATAAAAAACTTTAATTAAAATGAAAAAATGATTATAAATTCAAAATATTAAA